GGTGGTGGTGGTGGTGGTGGTGGTGGTGGTGGTGGTGATGGTGGTGGTGGTGGTGCTGGTGGTGGTGGTGGTGCTGGTGGTGGTGTTGTTGGTACTGGTGCTGGTGCTGGTGGTGGTTGTGGTGGTGGTGGTGGTGGTGGTGGTGGTGGTGGTGGTGGTGGTGGTGGTGCGGCGCGGTGGTGGCGGGCGGATGGGCGCGCGAGAAAGAGGCCCGCGCTGGGGCGAGAACGCCATCCTGAACGACGGAGGCCAAACACCGATCCGAAAATGAGGCCCACGCTGCAGCGGGAGCACGATTCGGAACGATTCGGGAGCAGAAATGAGGCCGGCGCCTCAACGAGAGCAGCATTTTGGGAAAAAATGACGCCGGCGCCTCAGCGAGAGTCTTTTCCCGGGATTTCCCGGGCATCCTGTGTGTAAAAAACAGTACGCGGAGGGTGCGCGGCCATCACCCGGACGCCATCAGGGGAAGAGGGAAAGTATATTCATATTGAGTAATAGTGGAGGGGAGGGGAGGGGGGAACGGGAGGGAGGGAGAGGAGGGAGGGAGGGAGGGAGGGACGGAGTGGGAGGGGGGGGGGGAGGAAGGGCGGGAGGGAGGGAAGGAGGGGAGGGGAGGGGAGGGGAGGGGAGGGCAGGGAAGGAGGGATGGATGGATGGAGGGAGGGAGGGAGGGAGGGGAGGGAGGGAGGGCGGGAGAGAGGGAGGGAGGGAGGGAGGAAAGCCGCGGGGGTGGCAGTTGACGCCATCATGGGAAGTTGTACAGGTGTGGAGGTACGTTGGGCCCTCCTCTAGGGACGTCTTCGTTGGCCGAGGGTCCCTAGAGGAGTCCTCGGCCCCCTCTGGTGGCTATTGACGCCTTCATGTAAAGGTGTGTGGGGAACCCACGCAGCCCCTATGATGGAAGCTGCGCGGGGTGTGAGGCCTATTGACGGTCCTCATGGGTGAGGCCTAAAGACGGTCCTCACCGGGGGGGGGCGAGAGGGACGGGGCGCGCGCGCTTCTCGGCGAGGTGGCTTCTGCTGATGGTCCTGAGGCGGGATTCTTGAAAACTGGACCCCAAACTGCATACACAGCTTCGACTCCGAAACATAGAATGCCTTGCGCACTCCGGGAAGGGAAGGAGGGGTAAGGGGGAGGGAATTGTCCGTCCCCGCAGCTGGATTCACCTCCAGGGAAGGGGAAAGCGGTACGCAACAACAGATGGCCGAGAACGCACAATTCAATTCCCGGCAGGGTGCAAATCTGTACCAAGCGCCAGGGGGACCCTAGTTGCAACGGAAGGCCAAAAACGGCGTTAAAACTGTTAAGCCCGTTGGAGGACGGATTGTCCGTCCCCGCGGCAGGAAGCTCCTCCAGGAAGTGGTTGTTCTCCTAAACACTGGCGGAAAGAACGTGCTGTCGGAGGCGGCGTGTCCTGACAGGGGCGCTCTTGGGCCTGAGGCCAGCTCGAAAACGGGATCGGATAACTCCCCCCCCACGACGCCACCGCCCCGGCGGGCAGCGGGGAGGGGCAGGCGGTCGGAGGGCGGGAAGGTAGATCCAGAGCGCTACGCCGCCACGGCCGGACACGGCTCGGAAAACAGCGATGAGGGGCCCGAGGATGGGACCCAGGGCCGCCATGGCGAACACACACGAGAGAAACCCTTGCTGTTTGGGGGTCGTCGCAGTCCTTGGTGAGCACGGGTTAGGTGGTGGGGAGCGGGGCCGACCCCCAAAGGCGACGCCGAAGCGGCAAGGGTCGACCCGTCACCCGAATGTGTGTGGGGTGTGAGAAAGGTTCAGCACCCCTTGGCGGTAGGTGTAAAGGTGGGGGGTGGCCAACCTGCCATAATGAATAGGAGAACTGACGTTGACAGGCACAATAAGCCGGCAGGGGAATAAATCCCGTTCGCGGCTTCAGGGAGGAAAGCCGCGGGGGTGGCAGTTGACGCCATCATGGGAAGTTGTAAAGGTGTGGAGGTACGTTGGGCCCTCCTCTAGGGACGTCTTCGTTGGCCGAGGGTCCCTAGAGGAGTCCTCGGCCCCCTCTGGTGGCTATTGACGCCTTCACGTAAAGGTGTGGGGGGGGAACCCACGCAGCCCCTATGATGGAAGCTGCGCGGGGTGTGAGGCCTATTGACGGTCCTCACGGGTGAGGCCTAAAGACGGTCCTCACCCGGGGGGGGCGAGAAGGACGGGGTGCGCGCGCTTCTCGGCGAGGCGGCTCCTGCTGATGGTCTTGAGGCGGGATTCCTGAAAAAGGGACCCCAACCTGCATACACAGCTTCGACGCCGAAACATAGGAGGAGAAGGAGGAGGAGGAGGAGGAGGAGGAAGAGGAGGAGGAGCAGGAGGAGGAGGAGGAGCAGGAGGAGGAGGAGGAGGAGGAGGAGGAGGAGGCGGAGGAGGAGGAGGAGAAGGAGGAGGAGGAGGCGGTAGAAAAAGAAGAACAGTAATACTAAGGATACTACTAACAACAAAACAACAATAAAACTACTAATAGTACTACTAATACGAATAATAAGCAGAGTACGAAGACGACGAATATTAAAAACATCATAATATTAATAATAAGAAGAATAAAAGACTATTAAGACGAATAATACTAATATTAACAATAGTAGTAATAAGAATACGGCGAATAATAATAAACATAAGATTACTACTACTACTGATAATAGTAAGAAGAAGAAGAATAAGAAGCATACGATGACTAATACCAATAATAATAATCATGATGATACGACTAGTACTAATACTACTTATGATAATACGACTAATCATAATACTTATCAGACGACGACTAAGATTAAGAAGACGAATCATTAGTTATACGAATAAGAATAATAAGAATAATACGAATAATACTACTACATACCACTAATAATAATAGTCATACTATTAATACGAATAATATTCGTAATAATAATGATTAGACGAATAATAGTACTAAATATAATAATAATATTAATAATAATAGTAAGAATAATAATACGAATGCAAATAATAACACTACTAATAACAAGCGGAGGAGGAGAAGGAGAAGGAGGAGGAGGAGGAGGAGGAGGAGGAGGAGGAGGAAGAGAGCAGGAGGAAGAGGAGGAAGAGGAGGAGGAGGAGGAGGAGGAGGAGGAGGAGAGGAGGAGGAGAGGAGGAGGAGGGAGGGATGAGGGATGGAGGGATGGAGGGAGGGGGCGGAGGGGAGGGGAGGGGGAGGGGAGGAGGGAGGGAGGGAGGGAGGGAGGGAGGGAGGGAGGAGGGAGGAGGAGGAGGAGGAGGAGGAGGAGGAGGAGGAGGAGGAGGAGGAGGAGGAGGAGGAGGAGGAGGAGGCCAGCCCCGCTGCGCCTGAGATCCGACGTCGCGCAAAGGCTGCAGCGGCGGGAAAAACC